GGCTGCCAGCAGTCACCAATATTGTAAACTATTGAGGTCCCCACACAGGGCAAAGCCCTCGGACATTTATGTGTTAATAAAATAAAGAAATAAATAAATTAAAAAATTAATAAGTTGACTGATAACACACGTTTACACACAGTTCGTAGGCCATCCCATCTTGCTAGTGGCAGACAAGTGCGTCTTCTTGATCCAATAATGATGTGCCCAGGATTGCATGTAAATTGGCATTCAGTATCAACTGCATATTGACTGGCAAGTGTTGTATTTCTTTTAAATCTTGGATCCATGAGATCATTAGACACTGGTGGCTCCAGGGAACACCTTACACTTCCATTATGAGGTTTTTCGGGGGTTGGACACATTTTCACTATGAAGAAAATGAAAAGTTTTTAGATTGTGTAGAGAAAAAAATTATACAAATGAGAAAAAACAAGACCAGACAGTGGGCCAACACTGGGGCCAAAATAAAAACAACTAATTACCAACACATTTTGGTGCTTTGCCTGACCAAGTACCAGTTTCCTGACACAAACGTATGCTGGACCCATGAAGTGTGTATCCCGGTTTACATCTCATTCCACAAGCAGCATTAAAAACATTTTGGCACATTCCACCTTTGACAAAATATCCATTTTCAGGTGGATATAGGAGTGGACATGTAATAACTGGAACACAAAATTGACAAGAACAAAAATCTACATTGAAACAATCACACTTCAACAACTTTCCAGTAAACACTACCCCTCCTCCTTATTGTCTCTTGGCAACAATGGAACTCAAGGTGACATCCAAAGTTTACTTGAGTTTCATCTAACATAACAAAAAAGGTGAAAAACATTGCAAAACAGAAATTTTAAAAAAAAAATCAACTCACAAAAATAAGTTTAAGATAAAAAAAATGACATAATAAGTTCCTACTTACAAATTTATTGAAATGGAGCAGGAATTAAAACATTTTGGGGTAGCAGCTGATAAAATATGGAAAGCAAGGGTTTCGCAAGAGAAATTATTGTCATCCAACTGGTCTACAAAATGGAAGTGGATGCTTGAGGAATACAAGTAAGAACAATGAGATAGACTCTAGAAACAGTAGATAATTACAAAATCTATTTTTTTATTTTTTATCCCCTTAGTACCATGTCTCTACAATTTGAAGAACTAAAAAATTTACGCCCAGCTGTAGGAAGACAAAAATCAATAGACGTACGATCATGTCAGCCAGTGCCAGATACCTCATCTAGGGTGGTAAGTAAAAATTAGTTGTAAGAAGAAATAGATTGAGAAATATGGCAATAGTTTCTATAATGGTATCTCGTTCTTTAACAGATTGGCTGGATAACACATAGACCGGAATTTCAACTTGAAATATACGGTCCATATGTGAAGAAATTTCCAATATTTCCCTCTTCTTCTGAATGAAGAGAACCTTCATAAGATATCAGGTGTAAGTAAAGACAAATGTGTCTCACAAGGAGACTTAGGTAGGTGTAAATTCCCGATTAGGTTCAAACTTGGTTTATTTACCTCTTATTCCTGATGATGACTATTGCGCGTCAATTTTTGTGTGGAAGCTCATATTCCAAAACTCCCTATAAGGGCCTATAAAGTACAAAAAATAAAACGTTCATGTTAAAAAAATGAAGTGATATTCTGACTCAAAATGTGCGCTTTAGGGAGGGTAGTTTCTCTTCCATTTTTCGATTTGAGAACGCCTTCCATCAGTTTTTGTCCAATTTTAAACGAATTTCTCTAATACGCATCTATAAGGTACTTTACTTTGGCATATGAACTTCCGCACAAAATTCGACCGGCGGTCGTCATCTACATGGTAGAAGCAAATATACCGAGTTTCAAGAAGATCGGGACTTTACACCTACCTAAGTCTCCTTGTCAGGGCTTTGAAAGACTACCCATAGTATCCATCATTGCTTAATTGCTCTTTTTCAATTCTTTCCTTCAGCTTTCAGCTAAAGCAAACATGGGAACAAACCTTTACAGAAGTCCCCTTGAGCAACAAATCCTTGTTGACAAACACAACTTGACTTTGAAGAGGCATTTCCTATCACTGTAATGTGATTTGGATCTGGACATGATATACATGAAGATACATCTCCTGGTCTTTGGCCATCATGATAAGTCCCATTTGGACAATCTAGAAAAAAGTCAAATATATAAATCAAATTTAAGTTTTATTATGGGGCTGAAAATTCCTCTCATACATTATTTACTTACGCCAACAAGAGTTCTTTAATCCCGAACCATAGTAGCCAGGATTGCATAAACATCTATAATGCCCTGATCCAGTTCCACATGAGCAGCGGGCATGTGAGTCACAACATCCATTTTCCTCTTTCTCAGAATCAGGGCAGATCAAGTGACAAAGGGAAACATCACTCAAAGACTGGTAAGAACCAACAGTAAGATCTGTAAAATGTCGGCAATAGTATGTATTGGAGAGTAGAAATCCTCACCATTAATAAACATGTCAGGGCCAGATATCAGTGACATACCTTGGTGAAGTGCACGTCTGCCAACTGCTTCGAATTGATCAAAACTGTCCACTAAATAAGAGAATTCCTCTTTTGGTGAGGATGCTATGTTCTCAAGTTCAGCAGTATTGCCTGATTGAATTCCAAAAGTAAAGATGAAAGTTCCATTGTTCTTTAGGATTTGAGCAACTGGTATAGGATCACCACCGTTAGAGAATCCATCAGTAACCAGGAAGATGGCTTTTCTAGCTCCAGCGCGTGACCATTCAAGAACAGACTAATGTAGCATTAGAATTTAAAGGTTTGGGAAATGTAATATACAGGCTCTCTCTTACTATCGAGCATATACCCTTACCTGTGCTTCAATTAGTGCTCCTATAGTATATGTCAAACCTCCAGAGTATTTAATATTAGGAAGGTCTTGGTGAAGCATGTTGCATTTGTGAAGTTCGAAGGATGGGACAGATATATGGTCCACATGGCGAAACTAGACAGTAGGAGGAGATTTAAAAACGTCAAAAAAAAAAAAAAAAGAAAAAAGAAATTAAAAAAGAATATCTTACCACTTTATCTGGATCAGAAAATGTTATAACAGCAGCTCTAGTCTCATTTTCAGAAATAGAAAAGTCAGCAAGTAGTTTTTTAATAAATTTTAGTTCACTGATGAAATTTTGGTCACCAACACTTGAAGATGCATCAATTAAAAATACAATCTCAAGCTGAAAAAAAAAAGCATCATAATGGTATTACAGTACATTAATCTGATTGCAGATGTGTCACTGTACTATGTGTTTCACGTAAAAAATGATACCTTCTTTGTGTCTTCAGTGTGAAGCATTTCTACTTTCTTTTTTAGGATGAGGCCAAGCCCTTCAACTTTATTATCTCTGTAAGACTTATTCAGAAGAGATTTGTTTTCGGCTGATTTCAGTGGTGATGTTGCTTGATGAAACTCTGTTTCAGTTATCTTCAAGGTCGTAGTATTTAGGGTCTGATCAAATTCATGAAGTTCCTCATAATTTAATGAGTATGTGTCATTAACAGAGCAGATCAATAATATGTAAGAAAATGAGGTGAGTAGGTTGTTCTCTTTCTTAGTGTGGCTAAACAAGACCATTTTACCTGAAAATAAAACAAAACAGTGCTTGTACCTTTTTTGGAAGCAAAACCTCTTAGGATACACCATAAACAAATTATAATTCAAAACGTACAAGTAGTGATAAAACAACACAATATTTATCCTCCTTGGTAGGTTGCTTAGCACTAACTTCAGTGAGGCACCTTTAGAGAGATGAATAGAAAATGGCACACGAGGTCCAAAGTTCAACAGGCCTTCAATAAAATTGGGAAACAACAATCACAGACGGTGACAGAGCAATGATGTAAAATAAAACAAACACTGAACGACCAAATAACAAACAAGTAATTTTATTCGTTTCAGTGTGGAAGGCAAAACATGGCTGAGAACTCAACAAAATTTGATTAAGTCGTTGTGGTTTTAAATTGATTACTGATTACCGAAATGGACACACGGGAGAGAACTGTTAATAATTATTGTTCGTCTTTCGTCTTTTAAGAATTCAAATGGACGAAAGCTGTAAAAATACTGAAGTGGTTTGAACAAGGTGGTTTTTAAAGGTTTTGTAAAAGCCGGGTCCGTATCTATTTACATACACACCTGTCAGGTGGTCCAGGCTGTAGGTCCAGGTGCTAAAAATGTCTCACTAAAAAACAGTTGGAAGAGTGTAACAACAGCATCATAAGGAATCAATGTATAATTTTGCTAAAATTGAACTGAAAAATATGTTACTTGACAACAACTTTCATGGTCCCTAATAAATTTCATATGGATTTGGACTGCCTTCAACCGCTTACTTGTTTTTCAGTAGTGGCTGTACCGACTTTCAACCGAAGTCATGTGAAGAGCTAAATGGAATTAAAATGTTCCCATGCATCAGAAATAAATTGAAGTTTTGAACCTATCTTGTTTGACTTAAATTTTTAATACTTACCAGTTGAACAAGATCTATTCTGAATAATAGCTGTTCACTTTGTCAAAGAACATTCTTTGATTTACAAAGAACAGTTGAAGGCACGGTGAAGTACAACCCACAATGCAATGCGATTCTCGCTGCTTTTGTTCCCTACGTCAGTCTTGCGTCAGTGTACGGTACTGAAGAGAAATGTCGTCGCGTTGGTGGAGGTTTTAGTTTCTTAAAAATAAATAATAGTGTCTGTGTTGTATAAATTGAACATTGAAAAGGCCAAAAGACTTTAAAATGGCTACGTGTGTGAATTCAAAAGCTGAGTTCGTGGTTGGTGAAAAATATCGTCTAGTGAGGAAAATCGGTAGTGGTTCTTTTGGAGACATTTATTTGGGAATCAACATCACAAATGGCGAGGTAAGTTGTTAGGTACAGTTTACAACTTCTTCAAAAAATGATTTTCCCATGTGCCAAGGTTTTTTCTGCGGAAGCTCCGAAATTATGGAGTGATGTCCGAAGTCTGGTAAAGGCCCCCTATGGTCCCCATAGCCTAGGCTGTGTCGAGAGAACAGGCAATGGCCCATGCACTACTTACATCTTTTTCCTTGTAGTGATACTTGTATCGTGGAAATGTTATCGGAGATTTTAGACTGAAATCCCACGATCTGTTGAAATACCTTCAAAACTTAACTGCTTGGACTAAAATTACGCTTGTTGTTGTTTTGGGACGGTTACGTGGACTCGTTCCGTGGTTCACAGACCTTCACAGTATTCAACGTTCAAATTAATTACCTCAGTCTTTTTCTTAGTTCTATTTTTGCACTTTGTCATCTAAATTACGCTTTGATCATAGTTTCTACCACGTTCGTATCACATAGACGACCGAATACCCGTGAACTTGAGTTCTCTACGGTATTCATTCTCTTCTTACTGGTCTTATGAAAAACATCATGATGTGTTACTTGTCTGAAACGTAAACATTATTATAACTTTCAAAATTTTTAAATGGGAGGATACATTAAGACATAAATTCAAATGTTGACTGCTGCTAGGTTATGTTACCCTATCCACTGATCCACTGTACAGTCAGACCCTGTTACATTTCTGTGGTGGAACTGTTGTTGACACATTATGTGTCTTTGATCTATTGTCAAAGAGTTCATAAGTGGAATAATTGTGAAATGTTAAACACTCGCTTTTATTTCCTCCTTTAGGAACAATAAACATATAATTTTAGCGTCCATGTTTATTTAGTCATGGTTGATGGTTATTTATGCTTATAGTGCTAAACCTTTTCTGTTTTGGGGGGGGTTTTAAATTGTGTACCAAGTCGAAAATTGTCCTAAAATTTTGTAATTTATAAGTATTCAATTTTCTTGGCCTTGATATCTTTATTGATTACTTTTATGTCTTGTCTTTGTAGGAAGTGGCTGTAAAGCTAGAGCCAGTCAGAGCAAGGCATCCACAGCTATTGTTTGAAAATAAGCTGTACAAGATTCTCCATGGGGGAATTGGTATCCCACATATTAGGTGAGTGTATTTTAATCTTATTTGAAATTGTTTTGTATGTTGTGTAAATATTTCCTGATTATGGAGATAAAATCTCATCATTCCATTTGTCAAAAATTGCACACATTACAAAACAGTGATATTGTGGTGAAACCAAGCTGATGTAGTGCAATTGTAGAAGTATTCTTGAGCCAGCATTTTACGGTTAATTTCATCAAGGCTCCAGGAGGGATTTGTTTTACTTCATTAGTCTTAAGTAATGTCGATGCTGGTGTTCTTCACATGATTGTGTGCTAGACGACCATGATGCAGTCATCCCTTGATTTTCATTTTAAATTGAGGTCAGGGTGACCATGTGACCCTTTACTTTCAACCTCATTACTATATATCAGTAATTGCAATCTGTCTGTTTACTTTGTCAGATTACTATTGTTTTCAATTGGTTTGGTAGTGGGATGTTGTGTGTTGTGTTGTGAAGTTTCTTGACCAAGACGAATCTCAGCTCCACCCTGGCCTTCACAAACACGTGTACTTTTATGCGACCCTACACCCCCTTAGCGAGTTGTTGGGGCCGTAGGCCTGCTTAGCCGTCAAGGTCGTTGGGGCATTTACCCCAGAACCACCCTCTGGGCCTGGGCTCGGCTCGACAGCGTGCCGGCGGTTCGCAAGAGAGAGAGAGAGGGGTATGACTGGGTGGGGGGTGTTGATAGGGGACGGGGGTATATTCTCACCTTCACCCCAGAGACGAGCGTAGGAGCGGGGGCAGAGGACCGGGAGGCCATTGTGAATGAATGGGAGATAAGGAGAGAGAGAGAGCGCGCTTGCGGCGCCGCCGGGCCGGGCGCAGCTGCGCAGCATGTAAGGGTTGCAGCCCGGGGCGGTGCGGCGCGGCGCTAAGCCGGGGCTGAGCAGGGCTGCCGCCAATCGATAATCGCGCGGCCACAGAGCTAGCTAGGCCTGCGCGGGCGAGCGCGGGCGGGTGCCACCTCCACCCACCGCAGACCCTCTCGTTTTCTTGTGTGTGAATCCCTCTCTGCCACAGCTGTTTACAGTTGGGGCTGGGAGGAGGAGGGGGAGGAGACAGGTACAGCGGCGAGGCGGCGGGGAGGATGTCCCACGGACAGGCACAGCTGGGCTGCACCGCGACAGGGTGTGCCACCCCTCCCCCACCTGCAGTGTATATAGAGCTCATCACCGAGCGAGCTACCCGTTCTAGACCCATTCTTTGACAGGTGAGAAGGGGTTGGAGGTGGAGGCATAGAGCTCGCGCAGCCTCGCTCGTTGCGGGGGAGGGGAAGAAGGGGTCGGGTTGGGGTCATCCGCCGTACTGCCCGGACGGGCCGGTGCTAATGAGGTTGTGTGTTGCCCAGTGTGCTCTGCGTGCCCTGCGAAGCTCTGCTGTGATGCGCCCGAGCTTGATCTTGTAGGGCCTCCGGACGGACCAGAGGGGCCTGGACGTGGACGCTGGACGCCCCCCCCCCCTCGTATTCCGCACGGCGGGTTTGGGGGCGCCTCGCTCCAGAGGAGTGCAGGGGTGTACCCGAGGCATGTCCTGTCCAGGGCCCTGGCCTCCGGGTACCTCCGGGGCTTGCTACCCCCCGTGCTGCTGCCTTACGGACGGACCCGCGCGGCCCGCTGAGTTGCCTGGCCGGGCGAGTGCGCGGCGGGGCAGCGGCGCGGAGCGGCAACGCCGCGCAGCTCTCAGCTGGATGCGCCGTTGCCGCTTCGACCCGCCAGGCTGTCTCCTCTCCCGTCTCCCCCTCTCTCTTTCTCTACCCCTCTCTCCTCCCGTGCGCCTCCTGTACCACCTCTTGTCCTCTTTCACCTTATTTTCTTGTTAGTGACTGGTCCAAAAGCCTTTAAAAATAAAATATATATACCAAAAACGACAACAGAAATGCACACCTCTGCCCCCCTCGCCCGTGGCGATGGTCGTGCACCTGCCGGGTGGCCGACGTGTTGTCTCTGCAGGTGCAGAGCCTCCTCCAGGATGTGAGGTCCTAACTGGACTGGCGGGGTGGGCGCCGTGCTGGTGCCATGGGGTCATGACCACGCGAGGGAGCCCGCTGTCCGCCTGCGGGGAGCTTCGATTTGCTCGGAACGGCGACGCACGTAACTCCGCACGGCGGCGGGTCTGGCAGCAGGCAGCCCTGTTCAAGTGCACGTCCAAGGCGAGCCGCAGGCGAGGCGTCGCTAGAGAGATTGCAAACATTGCAAAGCTACTGTAGCTCGTCCTGGTCGTGCGGGTCGAGCAGCGAAGAGCATCGATCGATCAACAGGTGTACATCGCGGCGCGGGCTGGGCCGCGGCGGCGGGGCGGAGCAGGCGGAGGGGCACGCCTGCCGCGCCAAACGCAGCGAGGCGAGGAGCCAAAGACAGCCTCCCTGCCCCGCGGTCGTGGCGCGGCGCTGACCGATCGTAGATCTGACAACCTTCTTGCCCCGCCCGTTCTTGTCACAGACGGCCTCCCCGCGGTGTCGTTGCGGCGGTGACCGATCGTAGACGTGACAAACTCCTTTGCCCCGCCCGTTCTTGTCACAGACGGCCTCCCCGCGGTGTCGTTGCGGCGGTGACCGATCGTAGACGTGACAAACTCCTTTGCCCCGCCCGTTCTTGTCACTTGTCACGTGACGGCGCCCATCCCCCTCTTGCGCCTTAACGCCCTTGTTCCCCGTATAACGCCATGGTACGTGTGTGGGTGGGAGGCCCTCGAGCCCCGCCCGAGGTGGCTCACGGTTGCGTCACCGGGTGCAACAGGCCCCCGAGCTGTGCGTGCGCGAGGCGCGTGTGCTTGCTGCTGTTCCGCCGCGTTTTGATTCGTTGTCGTATATGATGTATATGCAAACCGATGAACGAGAGGGCGATCGCCCGTAGTGTGGGTGGACACTGCTTTGGGGTGCTTTGGGGGCGAGCGGGCGAGCCTCCTCCCGCCGACCTCCGCAGACGAGGGGCGACCCTGCTTACTGCTCGTGTCCTTACGCTGCCTCGAGGAGGGCGCCCCCTCTCCCCTCTGATCCGCCACTGCGACGCTCACTCCGTCTCAGTAGAAGTCGTCTCGGTGGACAACTTGTTCCGGAGCGAGTGAAGCGCCGAGGAAGGCGACGCACAGTGAAACTCGACGCCACTGCTGCGCGCTGCTACTTCATTGTGGTGGCACCTGAAGAGGGGGAAGGGAAAGGGAGAGGAAAGGGGGGAGGGTGAACTTGCGTCCATGTCGGCCTGCAGCCGCCGCCGCCGCGGGCCCGACCCCTACTACCCTACCCGACCCACTGGAGGCCGCGGCGGGTTGCCTAACGCTGGGCTGCATCACGCCGAGCCCGTCGCTGACCTCGGCCGCGGCCGTGCGCTCGCCCCGGCTCTGTGCGGCTTCTTTCTGCCGCCCCGGCGGCCCCGGCGTCGGCGATGCACTTGTCGCCCGCCCTGGCGGGGTTGGCATTGTCTCGACGACACGTCGTTTGCGTCGTCGCCCAGACGGCCGGCCCAGGAGGCTCGTCGTCCGCCCCGCCTGCGGCGGCGCCGCGCAGAGTTGTGCTGGCGGAAAGTGAAATCCTCTGCTCGGGCCTTGCAGACTTCTCTCCCGCCCGCCTACCGCGGCTGTCACGCTGACCGCCCGCCGTACAGCGTGGCGGGGCGCGGCGAGGGCAAAGTGAAGCCAGCCGAAAAACCTTGGTCCACACTTTGTGCGCGCCTGCTCCGCCTGCTGCTGCTGCTGGCGCCCGTGCACGCTTTCCCAAGGCGACGCTGCCGCGCCGGCCTGGTCCTGTCCTGATGGGCCCCATTGGCCAGGACGAAGACCACGACCGTCGTGATGGGCGTCAGGAGTCGTCACCTCGTTGTGTTGCGCAATGGGCTGGGGGGTAGGTGGAGGGAGGGAGGGGCGTCTCGTCCAATTGGTGTCTGGACGAGCAAGCCTTGAAGCAGGCGATGCCCCTCGACCCTATCGTGACCCCCCCGGGGGGGTGGTTGGGGTCCATCCGGGCACCACTCAGCTGTACATATCCCGTTAGGGGGCCGCGCGGCCGGACCGTCGGCCGTTCCGAGTATCCGGACGGAGCAGCGAAGAGGCCGGATCTGGCTGGCCCATCCGGCCGCACACGGCCCCTCCTTGCCCCGCTACATCTGCTGCCGCTGCTGCTGCTCCTGCTGGGCAAAAACTGCATCCAGGCTGCCGTCGGCCTGGACCCGCGACGGCGCCTGCGCCTCTCTGCGCCACCCCGTGGGAGGCTGATTGGGGCCTCGAAGGCGCCGTCGCCGTCGTCGCCGCCGTCTGGCCGGGGCTGGAGGACCTCCCCATTTTGTGGGTCAATGAGAGTGGGTCGGGCATTGGGATGCGACAGAGTGGCGGCTACACTGCGCCGGGTCATGTCGGGAGTCGGGGGGGGGGAACTCGCCGTGCTCAAGAGCAGCTCGAGAGCAACTCCGCGAGCGAGGCTCACAATAATGTTGTAAACGCGCTCCGGTCCCAATCATCCGGCGCCCATACATCAGTAGGCTACTATAGGGAACCACACGGGCGCGAGGCGCGCCCGACGCGACTTGGGCTCTCTTAACTGAATATAACTTAAGATGATATGACTCAGGCTGGCGGGGCGGGCCGGGGCCGCGGCGGGGCTTGTTTACAAACAGCGCGCGCGCCCGTGGCAGGGCCGCTCTGCTCTAGGCCCCGCCAGGGCCCCCGTTGTGACGCGCCGCCGGCACGGCCCGGCCAGGCCAGGCCCCGCCGCGGGCCGCAACATAAGTTAGTATCGGATGGCACGCAGCGAGATTAGACGAGGCGACAAGTCGCGATTAGGATTCGTGTTACGGTACGTGGCACGCCGCGGCGGCGGTGGTGGTGGCTGTGTGGTGATGGTGGTGTCGGTGTCTTGCGATGGTCTCGCTTCCCCTCGGGGGGCAAGAGTCCGTCGTCAGCGTCAGGCCATCATCTGGAGGGAATCTCTCGCGACGCTCGCGAGGGAGAGGGGGACACGTCAAACAAATGCAATCCGAAGAGCAGTGTCACGCACTCCACGGGTTGACAT